TATTTCCACAGAGATGTTTAACCTCCTGCCACCACTTGCTAGGTTTCACATTTCTAAGATTTTCAACTTTAGACTTATAATACATTTTTCGGATGCTCTTCCTTTCTCTATTAACCTTGTTACGAAGAACTTTGAATAGAACCCTATTTCCAGGTGTAAATGCCTTTTGTCGCCGGGAAATAAGCCTTTTTAGATTACTAGTCATCCAGGGACGTTCATTATAATGGACACTTAAAGAACGTTGAGGCATTATTGTATTTAGTCCGTAATTAATAATATCTGACATTATTTCTATGTTCTGGTCACATGTAAGTTCTTTTGATAACATGCAAGACCATGAAACTTCCATTAGAAATCGGCCAAGGCTAGCTTTTTTGCTTTGTCGTTTGTCTCTAACTTTGATAACTTCTGATTGAGATTTGCACGAGTTGGCACGGTCTTTAGGTGTGGCTATAATTGTCACGTGATCAGATAAGCCAAATGGTGGCGCACTGGATGGTGAATCATAATATTTGCTCAAATTGGAAAATATTTGGTCCAAAGTATTATTACCTCGTGTTGGAAAATTCACCATTGACTTTAGCTGAAATCATTTTGTAGTTTGCTTCAACTTTAATTTATTGAAGTCGCCAGCGATAATGATCGCACTGTTAGGAAAAGACGACTCTAAACTTTCCAATGAGTTTCGTATATACGAGATCATGTAATCACTGTCCTCTCCTGGTGGGTGATAAACTACACCTACTATAAGTTGATGAAACCCTCTAGGTAAGCGAGAAGGACGTAGCAGAGCCCACAACACTTCCACATTTTCGCTTTGCATATCTAATAATTGTCGACAAAATATTGAAGACTTCACGTATAGACAGACACCTCCATGTAATTTATGAACTCAGTCTTGTTTCAACAATTGATAATTAGAAATATTAATTGCTTCATTTGGTATTGATTCCTTTAACCATGTCTCTGTAAACATAGAAATGTCAATGTCTAACGTCAATATGGTTTCCACAATTTCATCAAGTTTAGGAGCGAGCGACATTGTGTTGGACAACAATAATGACGGTACAAATTCTTGCTTTCGTGTATTAACCAAAAGGGAATGTTCAGGCAATCTCTTAATATGAATCAAATTTGAAGGATTCGAATAAGGACAGCATCTGTTTCGTTTATTTACGCGATTGCGAGGAGAAATTCTAACTGAAATCTGAGCCATTATTCAGAAGTTGAGGAGTTTTCAACTTGTGGTGGTTTGCTTTTGGTTTGCAGCTTTTGCTTTATTGGTTTTCGCAAAGCTTCTTTAGATTTCCATAATTGGCAACTCACAAATTTGGGCCAGAAATCTTTTTGCTGTACAAGAGGGAAATCAGCGGAGGTGATGTGTACCTTGGGCGATACCGTTCCCTCACGTTTACTGGGAAAGACCGAAATAAATGTTGGATTTATATTTCGCTGCGTGAGGTAGGATTGGATATGTTTTTCATTCACGCTGCTTGCAATTCCAGATAAGAATATTCTCTTTGTTTGATTTCGCCTACGCTCTACTCCTACAAAACCATCAGCACTAATCCTACTATTGTTATGCTTAGTGGTAAAATGTTGTTGTGGTTTTGGAGCATTCCCATTTGTGGGATTTAAGACCAGCTTTGATCTGGCAGCTTTAGCATACGTTAACTTGTCATTTTCAGTTTGTTTATTGGTCTCAACTGGACTGTCAATAATTACAATATCTTTGTTATTTTCGGGACTTAAGGCCTGGTCTTGGTTCGAACTAGCGGGATTTTCACTCAACAAGTTGGTATTCTCATTGTTGCTCGTAATCACAATTCCTAGCGATTTCGATGGCTCAGTGCTCGCTAATTGTTCCCTATTTGTGGGCTTACTATCGCCATCTACTTCATTTACATCACCAACAAACACTTCATTTGAATGTTCTACATGGAAATTTGTATATTCAGCAGCTAGAAGCGATGTTTCTCGTATAATGCTGTCATCGTTTTTACCCATAAGATCCCGAACTTGTGATATAACAGCAGTCATGTGTTCAAACTTATCTGACAATGCAGTCAATGCTTGAATCACTTTCCTATTCATTATCTGCTCACGTTTAAGCTCCTCAATTTCTGTAGGGGGGCCAGCCGCTTCGCTCGAATAATCACTAATGTATCTACAAACCTCTCTCTTGAATTGGTTTGCCTTTTCTCCTTCGAAGAATAGAAGATTTTTGTTCTTTCGCCATGTGATAGAAACCTCTTTAGCAGTAAACACCTTTTTGTCACCTCCAGGTTAAGACCAGGAGCCATTTATCTTCAGCGATTCAGCCACAAAACATTTTAATGAATCAAAGTCGCCCGACCAGGCCAGACCAAGCGATTTGGAAATAGATTCAGTTGCCTTTCTGATGCAGTTGTCCTTCCCAATGTTTAGCAAATCGTCTTTAGCGAAATATAGTAATGAATTAGCCAATTTCTGGCTTGGGCTAGGACATGAATCACTTGGAATAACGGAGCCCAAGATGACACGTCTGCCCTCCATGAAAGCGTTATGCAGATGAGATAATAAAGTTGCTAGCAAAAGGGGTCATAAAGCCCTCAAAACATGAGCAAGGAGAGTTTATCTCCCCTATTTTTGTAGCAGAGAAAAAAGACGGCTCATATAGAATGATCTTGAATCTTTAAAACCTGAATTCTTATGTGGTATGTCACCATTTTAAAATGCACACACTTTGGATTGCCATATTAGGCTAATGACACCTAATTACTTCATGGCATCCATTGATTTGAAGGATGCCTACTACTCAGTACCTATTTCCAATGAAGATCAGAAGTACTTGAAATTTGTATGGGATAGTACCCTTTACCAGTTTACATGCTTTCCAAATGGGTTAGCCTGTTGTCCTCGCAAGTTTACAAAACTGATGAAGCCTGTTTTTGCCATGCTACGGAAAAAGGGGCACCAATCATCTCCATAATTGATGACGCTTTTTTGATGGGTCAATCATATGAGGACTGTGCCTCAAATACAATTGGCACAACCCGGCTGGTTGATGATTTGGGATTAGTAGCCCACCCTGATAAGTCTGTATTTATTCCAACACAGGAACTTGTTTTCCTGGGATTTAGTCTAAATTCTCAGACTATGCAAGTTCGACTCACTACAGAGAAGGCCCTAAAACTCAAGCATGCATGTGAGGAGCTGCTACGAAACTCACAACCCACTATCAGACAGGTTGCTAGAGTTATCGGTACTTTAATCTCTAGCTTCCCAGGGGTTGCCTTGGGCCCATTATATTATCTATTATTTGAGGCTGACAAAAATACAGCCCTACAACTAAAAAGAGGGCAATTTGATAAACCAATGTCTTGTTCGACCCAAGCTAGGGAAGAACTTGAGTGGTGGGTCAATTATATTGAAATATCTTCCAACCCTATGAAAAGAGGAAGTCCTGAAACCACACTCACAACAGATGCAACAAAGACAGGTTGGGGTGGTGTGCCGCACAATCATTCCACTGGGGGGCTCTGGTCTGCTACAGAAGCAGCGGAACATATTAATTATTTAGAAAATAATGTTAGCGGTTTTTCTGTCCCTAAAATCATTCAGATCCTCTTTATGTGATAAACATGTTTTGATTATGGTGGATAATACTACCACAGAATGTGAATTGTGGGTACTAGTCATGGGACCAAACTAAATGCCGTGGCCAAAGAAATTTGGCTTTGGTGCATAGACCAGAATATTTGGATCTGGGAAGCTGACAAAGAATCCAGAGTTTTTAACTTGAACACTGAGTGGTGCCTAAACAACTCAACATTTAAGTTGCGGTGCCACAAACTTGGTTTTACCCCAATTATTGACCTGTTTGCATCCAGAAAGCATCTAGAATTAATCACCAACTTAAACCCTATGTGTCTTATCGCCCGGATCCAGAAGCTATGGCGGTTGATGCATTCACCATAACTTCGACTTAATATTTATTTTATATATGCTTTCCTTCCATTTAGTGTAATTATGTTAACTCTTCAAAAGATTCATGAGGACCAGGCCACAGGCCTTTTAGTGATACCAAATTGGCTGACACAAGTGTGGTGGCCAAGAGCAATGGAGATGTTAGTTCAGAGACCCATCTTACTGCCAAAACACAAACAAACCTTATTCCTACCGAGCCATCCAGGAAGAGTTCATAACAAGCTTTGCCTCATGCTATGCCACTTGTCGGGCAACAGCTTAAAGAGCAGGGATTTTCGGAAACAGCTGGAAGAATCATCCAGACTTCATCGAAGTCCGGAACAAGAAAGCAATACACATGCTATGTTGAGAAATGGATTAGCTACTGTGGTGAGAAAAGTCTTAATCCAATTTCTTCAGATGCAAAAGAATGAATTAATTTCCTGGCTGAACTCTTTGATTCGGGGTAGGATACAGTGCCATAAATACTGCTAGAAGTGCACTCTGCTCAATTATGAACATGTCAGATCAAACACCATTTGGATCGCATCCATTGGTGTGTAGATTTCTTCGAGGCGTATTTGTAGAGCGACCAAGTGTGCCAAAGATATAATACAATCTGGGGTGTTAACATTGTTCTTGAGTACCTCAAACAACTGCCCATGGACAACAATCTTACACTACGCGATCTAACTGTCAAGCTTACCATGTTATTGGCTATACTATCGGGACAGATATGCCAAACGTTGCACTTGCTTAATTTAAAGGGCGTGAACCTGACTGATCAAGAGAGCATATTTAGAATTCAAGAGTCAATAAAAACCACCAAGCCTGGTTTCAAAGCTATACAACTTACATTTAAGGCTTATCCGGCTGATAAAAGGTTGTGCATATTATACCATCTTATGGATTATTTGCGGAGAACAAAGTCAATAAGAGGAGATTGTAATCAGCTTCTAATAAGTTATCAGAAACCACACACGCCAGTGTCGAAAGAAACTATTGCGAGGTGGCTTAAATTTGTGTTAAAACTAGCTGGAATTGACATTAATATGTTCAAGGCTCATAGCACTAGGGCAGCAGCGAAATCAGCTGCCTCTAGCAATATTCCTGTAAAGGTAATCATGGCCAGTGCTGATTGGTCGAATGCTAACGCGTTTTCTAACTTCTATGATAAACCTGTCATTACAAATGAACAGAACTTTGGAGAGGCTCTTTTACAGTCTCTAAGCTAGAGGCGAGTTTTGTTATTTTTTTTTGTTATAGTTTATGGGATGTAATGCACATTGTTATTATTAAAGGCATTACTACTTCGGCTTGCTAGTGATTGCACAGCTTCGAAGTCTCATTGTGACTCCCTAGTGACGTAACTAATGACGAAATAGAATTTAAAAATTAAACGAGACTTACTGGAAGTGTAAGTTGAAGTTTGATTGTAATTCTATGAGTTATTAGTAAGGTTCACTAATAACTCATAGAATTACAATCAAAGTTCAACTTACACTTCCAGATAAGTCTCGTTTAATTTTTAAATTATAATTGCGTCGTGAATTAGAACAATTTTCAAAGCTTTAAAATTTTCCTCAACAATTCCTATTATAAACGTTCAATATAGAATCGAAGAGGATAAAACAAATCTAGAGAAGAAAGAAGAGACATGTTGGACGAAAAAGAGATTTGCTCTTTGGGATGTCTTCACAAATTCGACAAGTGTCAACTTAGAAAATGTAAAAGATTTAGTCGAAAATGGAGCTCATGTAAACAGTACTACAAATTTCGGTAAAACTGTGCTCTTTGTTGCTGTGAGATCTGGTTTTGTTGAGATCACAAAATATTTAGTGGAACATGGTGCTGATGTTAATAAGAAAGATTATTTTGGCTCGACACCTCTCAGCGATGCTGTAAAATCCTACTCATTGGAAATGGTCAAATATTTAGTAGAACATGGTGCTGACGTCGGTGGGAAAGACAATCACGACAGACCCCTTCTCTTCTATGCTGTAAAATACGACTCACCAGATATTTTCAAATATTTAGTGGAACAAAGTGGTGATATAAATTGGACTGATCATAATGGAAAGCCACTTTCTTATTATGCTGTAAAATATCGGTCGTTAAATACTGTTAAATTTTTAATAGAACAAAGTCTGGATGTGAATTGGAAAGATCGTGACGGGAAACCATTTCTCTACTATGCTGTCGAATATGATTCATTAGACGTTCTCAAATATTTAGTGGAAATACATGGGGTTGATGTCAATTGGAAAGATGATAACGGTAGAACACTTCTGAACTATGCTGAAGAGTTTCTTTCATCCCAGATTGTTGAATATTTATTGAAACTTGGTGGTAAAGATAAAGGTAATTTCTTGATGTCGATGTTTATAACCACTGACCTATAAGATATCTAGTATAAACGGCTAAAAACTCTGAGCCTGCGGTTTATCAGCATGGACTTGTCAGTCAACAACATTCAACAATATTGTTGAAACTGAATCGGTGTAACAATATTGTTCAATGTTGATAACAACTCTGAACAATGTCGGCAGCACAACATTGCTCCATCCTACTCATGTCAATATTGCATCAACCTGATCGTTTTTAGGCGTGTACGTCAGTGTTTATAACTAATTAATATCTAACGTCTAACGTGCCAATTTTACTTTAATTTGCTTTGAATAAATTCTTCATCTGCGTATACAATAAAGTAAAGCTGCTTTCCATTTACATCCATTTTTCAATTATAATATAACATTTATAGTACGCGCGTGCTGATTGGTCGAGAAGCGTGTTTCTATAACTGTATAGAAACACGGGAATTTTCCCGCCGAACTTGGCTAGCGAAGCGATGTAATGAGAATTTGTAATTGAATCGAATTATAATATTTGTACAAAATCTTTTTATTGAGTTATATTATAAAAGAAATAGAAAACATTTTTTCCTGTATTTCTATACAGTTATAGAAACACTTGTGGGAGTTTGGGAGAACTCGAAATAACGTGGAAAAACTCGCCCTACGGGCTCGTTTTCCCACTGATTATTTCTCGTTCTCCCAAACTCCCACGCGTGTTTCTATAACTGTATAGAAACACGGAAAATGTTTTCTATTTCTTAAATGTAATATTTGAAAAGGATGGGTGAGTAAATCGACAAAACATAGTTTTCTGCATATTTTAATATGCATCTGTTGACCATTTGCATGTTAAATAATAAAAATTTTTAGGCATTTAAGGCTCGTTCACACTTGCGATTTTTGCTGTGATTTTTTGTTCGATTTTTCTCTTTTGATAGATGTGAACGAGTAATAAGTCGGATGTGTATAAGCTCCTATTTGCATATCAGTCACTAATTTACTCGTTTATACCTATCAAAAAAAGAAAATGGCACATAAAATTGCATTTATAAACGGGCCTTTAAAGTTTTCCGCGCGCAGAAAAACGCGTGAGTGGAAAGCAGCCTTTAAACTGGCTTGTGTACTGAGGCAATGGGATGACGGGTGTGAGGGATGCTGTTTTAGAGGAAAGCCTGGGTATTTTTGGACAGAATAAGATGCCTTTCAAAAGGATGGGGCAGTGACCGATGGGTGTCATTCGAGAAAAAGGCCATTGAGGCCATGTTTAGTCCTTTTTTGGTGCATTCTTGAATACAATTATCCCCGAGCCGGCGCGAAGCGCCGTGCGAGGGTACTAATTCCGCTGGGAGATTTATTACACCCGGGTATTGTGACAGAACATAGCGGAATCCAAAGTTGCTCAAATTCTATGTCGTGGACATTGAAGTAAATACAACTGGAATGATAAGTCAGGGGGGGAGTTGAAGCCATGCGTGAAGCCCGCTTTGTAGGTAGACCCAGTCCTTTGTATTGTATTTTTTAAAAATATGCTCATTTTTAAATCCGAAAAAAGTTGCCCCAAAATACTAGTTATACCACCAAATTTAATTGATATGAGTAGTATTATAAACAAATTTAATATTCGCAAACCAAGCTAAAAACAAATTAGCAAAAAACTATGAAAAAACAAGGCCGTAAGTACGAACGATCATAAAAACCGCGCTTTTTTGTTGCATTTTCTGAGTTATTGAAAGTTTTAAGAAAAACTAACTCATCAAACCTCAGAAATAATTTAAACCTATGTAAAATACACCCATATGCGAAATTTCAAGAGAATTGGACGTTCTATAGTCGAAAAAATTGAATTTAAATATTGACAAAAATATTGTTAATAAAACAAAACATTAAAATTGCTACAGTCAGTCGCTTGCGTCAGAGTTAAAGTTTTCATACGATGTTTTTATTAAAGCTAAATTTAAAGGCAATCAAAATGTAAAATCAAAGCAAATTTCGCGTCCCTAAACAGGGATGCCTTATACCTGCATTGTTTGTGGAAGCAAGAGTAAGAATAATAAGGAAAACGAGGAGCAAATAGAGCATATAGCCTACCACAGGTAAACTTCACTGCATGTTGACATAATTTAAAAGTCAATAAAAATTTTACAAATAATATTTTATTAAACAAAATACAGTAACAGTTTAAATTTAAAATATAATAATATAACTTTAAGGTTTCCCCTAAAGAATAAGCAGCTGTTAGAAAAATGGGAGGAAGTGGTCAAGAGGGTGAGAAGTGATGGGAATGGATGGAGAGCAACACGCCATAGTTTCATTTGCAGCAAACACTTTGAAAAGGATGATTACATTCAACTTCCAACAGCCAAAACAGCTTCATGCAGGCTTAAAAGAAATGCAATACCTTCATTGTTCAAAATTGAACCGTTTTCACGTCCCATCCCACTCGAAGCTACAAGACGGCTACAAGAGGGATGCAATCACATACCAGTGTATACAGGACAGAAGCGAAGCAGGCAGCAGGACACCCCACAACCAGCAAAAGTACATATAAACAAAGACTATGAAAAGGCCTTCAGAAACAACAATGCAGAAATATCCAATAAGCAATTGAAATCAAAAATAAGAAACTTACAGCAACAGTTACGGCGATGCAAATCAAAAATTGCCAACATGTCAGATGTGATCAACAGCTTAGAGCAGAACTTGATTGTCAAAACTGAAATTGCCGACAGATTACACGCTTCATTTGACAAATTACAGCTATCCATTTTCCACAATGCCAAAAACAATACCACTGTCTCCCCATGTGGAAGACGATACACTGATGACATCAAAGAATTCTCTCTAACATTGCATTATTATTCATCCAAGGCATAAATATGTAAGATCGATCATACCATTGCCAAATCCATCATTAATTCGAAAATGGTCAAGCTCAGTTAACTGTGAGCCAGGTTTTTTGCAGGAAGCATTCCAATCATTACAAAGTGAGATTGAAAAAACACCTTCAAAGAAAGACTGCTGCCTCATCCTTGATGCTATGGCGATAAGGAAGCAAACATTGTGGGACCCAAAGAAAGAACGGTACTCAGGTTTTGTTAATTATGGCCCAGTACAACCTGAAGATCCTGAAATCCTTGCATCTGAAGCATTAGTTTTCATGGTTGGAACACGATCGCACTGGAAGTGTCCAATTGGTTATTTTCTGACGGATAAAATGACTGCTAAAACCCAGGCCCAACTGGTTAAAATGGCCTTGGAAAAGGCAGCTGACATCGGATTAAGGGTATGGTCGATAACCGCTGACGGCACATCTGTGAATATCAGCATGTTCACTCTCTTAGGTTGCATATTCAGTACAAGTTATGACTCCATGGTAACAATGTTCAGGCATCCATCACAGAATTACAATGTCTATATAATATTGGATCCATGCCATATGCTGAAACTGGCACGAAATGCACTCGCAAGCTTGGGTTCATTTTATGACCACGACAATGGTGAAATTCAATGGCATTTCTTCCAAAACCTGCACAATCTTCAACAAGAGGAAGGATTGAATTTGGGTAACAAATTCTCTGCACAGCACCTAGAATACAAAAAACGCAAAATGAATGTACGGTTAGCTGCACAGACCCTAAGCTCATCAGTGGCCAATGCAATCGAATTTCTGGATGTTTCAATGAAGCGAACAGAATTTAAAAACAGTGAGCCCACAGTAAAATTTACAAGAATAATTGACAGGGCATTTGACATTCTTAATTCTAGAAGTCCCCAGGCTAAGGGATATAAGCAGCCTCTGAGACCTGAATCAAGAGAGATATGGGAAAATCAACTTATCTTCTATCACTTGCAGTGAAAGAAGGAAAGAGCAAAAAGAAAGTTCTTCTCACCACTCAAAGGAGGAAAACATTTATTGTTGGTTTTGTTGCTACCATTAAATCCACCATCTGCATGGCAAATGAAATGTTTTGCTCAAAGAAATCCTTTTAAATCTTCTGACATATAAGTTCTCACAAGATCACATTGAATTATGCTTTTCATGTATACGAGCTAAAGGTGGCTGGAACAATAATCCAAACAGTATGCAGTTAAAATATGCTCTAAGAAAAATGCTTTTCAAGAATGCAGTAAAGGCTTCAAGAAATTCTAATTGCATAGACTTTTCACAAAGCTTTTCCTCAGGAATAATTCCAATTTTCCATACAAGAAAGCATAGAACCCCACTTAATGCAGAAGAAAAGCCAGAAAATGATTCCAGTTTCACCCTAACAGAGCAGCTGCTAGTTGAACAGCTAGCAGAGAGAGGACATTCAGACTTTATGGAAAACATTCTGTTTTATATTAGTGGATTCGTGGTAACCAAGTTGCTAAAATTAATTGCCTGCACAGCTTGTAAAAGTTGTCTAATTTCAAGTCCTTCATCCCCTGCATCAGGCGACCACGACTACTGCGGTACAAAAACGACACAACGTTCTGATACTCCAGCTGCCTCAGCATTCACACTATTTGTCAACAGAGGTGGTTTAACCGTCCCCTCGCATTCGGTATTCGCCGTTGTCAAATATGCTGAACATATTTTTAAAGCGTTTGTTGTCAAGGATGGAAAGCACATCAACTCAAGCGAAAAGCTACGAAGTAAAATGATCATTGAAGTCTGCTATCATTTTGTAACCAATGAATCATGTACTTTAAATATCTTTGGCGATCATGATCCCGGATTGAATGAAGCTGGCTTTGATGAAGACCACAAGCTGAAGTTGATCAAATACATCGCCGAGAAGTACTTCACGCTCCGGCTCTTCACGTACGGCAAGCGTTATTGTCAATCAGTTATTCAAAAAGGGGAACAAAGTGACAGATTTCACTTAACAAAGTTAATTTTGTTTAAAAACCAATAGACATGTTACATGTAAAAAAATATCGATATATTTGTACTTATCTTTGTGTGCTTTGCTGTTTTTATACGGCGTTGTTATTAAACATTTAACTGACCATGTCTTGTTTGTCTTGAAAGTTTTTCGTTAAAAAATAACATGGATCGTTGTAATTTTCACACTTTTTCGAAAAAGTCCACTTCTTTAAAGCACTCGCTTCTTTCAAAGCAGAATACTTTTTATTACAAATACATAAATACGAAAAAAAGGCCAAAAAGCGCCCTTCGAAGTTCGAACAGTTTCGACTTTCGAGTCTCGAGCACGCCGCCTTCTGTTTTGTTTCCGGGGGGAGTGAAAATTCTTCTAGTACGAGTTGGCTTCAACCAATCATAGGACTTAATCACAGAGTTATCATTCCAGTTGTATTTACTTCAATGGTCGTGGACCGTGGACGTTCAATGGTCATGGTACTTGTGCGCATGCGTGAAATGCGAACGAGTGTAGACTGGTAATCAACGAACGTTCTGATTGGCTAAGACAGAAAGTTTGTAATTCAATGAGAACGTCAGCAATTTAACTGTCATTTCGTAAACATTTTTGTAAAAAGTAAAAACGTTTCATAAACTTTGTGCAAAGAAAGTAAAACGAGAAGAAACAAGATATATGAAGCATGACAGATAGCAAAGATGAACGTGGATACAGTCAAAACAAAGCCGTGTAAGAGGAATAATTCATAATTTGCAAACTTATAAATGTTTTCAAAGACAAAGGGTACGTGTTTACTTTGTTTATTTCGTATTTGTTTCGCGATAAGAATGAGCCGTATTTGTATACTTTTCAGCTTTGTATGCCGTTCATTTGTTAAATTTTCAGCTTTTTCTGCAAACGCATAAACCTGTGAAGGGCTATTACACCTTTGCTTTAACTTCAAAAAGTGTTTTTGAAAGTGTAATTTGAATTTTGGTATCAAAAATACACACTATATTTATAAAGTATACTGAAACTTTTAGCCGCCGGCGTTGACTGCAATTACAGAATAAAATAACATTTGAAGTTTTTCTTTGTCTGTGAAGATTTTGTACTGTTTTATTCGTTTGAAACTTCGATTTTAAAGTGTTACTTAATTGCTGGCATGGTATAATGCAGCAAAATTGAACGGGCAATGTTTACACTAGCTTTGTGATTATTTTTGTATTGAATGATGGAAACTTTAAGACTGATTTGAGTTTTGTGTCATTTCATAATATAAGTTTAGGTCAGGTTAACTCAGGAAATTGTGTACTTGGTTTGAAATAGCGAGGGGTTGCTGCATGCATGTATTTCTAGTAGTGTCTGGAATTTAGTCGATAATTTGTCTTGCCGAGAATTTTGTCAACATGGTGTGACAATAAGGGAGCTTTAGCTGTGACCACGAGAACAACTGCGAATACAAGATTCGCATTTTCGCGTCAAGTTCGCTGCTTTCATGCCAACGCCATCTGGCGAGACTCGTTGTCGTTGGGATTACGAGTACGAAATTAACCAAGGCAATTAAGAACGAATCTCGTACTCGTAGTCGTAGTGGTAGTCGCTGCTTAAGCTCCCTAACAATTACTAGTTCAATGTTGATAATATTGCCGAAAGGTTCTCGCGTTCAAATAATCGCGTTAAAATTTAGTCCACCTTTCCCGAAGCATGCGTTATTATGAGCAGAGGCAATGCGCAAACCCGAGAAATTATTTATGATGCGCAAAATTATTTATACTTAATTATATTTTAATTCAGCTTTAATTGGTCCAAAAGGAGACGTTATTAAGTTAGACGACGTCACACTTCAGTTGGAAGCTGGTTGCTTGACCGAGGACACAGAAATTACAGTAGCTACAAAACCCCGGCACAAAAAAATCAACCCTATGCTGACACTATGTTCTTGTTGATTCGTTCGAGGATTTGTTTGCTTACAATTCCGATTTTGGATTTCGCGGGGTTGATGAGGCGCAATGACGGGTTGTTGTTGAAGTTCGGTTTAATTAATTATGCATCTCTTGTATATAGCCGTTGTGCTGTTGTAATTACATATTATTTACCTGATGAGTGTGGCAAGCTTAACGCTTGTCATACGAAACAGCTCTGTAGTAAATAAAATTCGATTCGAAGTAACTCGTGTTTCTCATCCTGTATTGAATATTCCAGCTGCCAGGAGGAGCAACATTCAATCTTGTGAGAGATATGATGATGACCGCAGTCGAGCTGAGAATATATTATCAATTTTCAACCGTAGTGAAGAGTTTTCGCGCGAACAGCTGGCTCGCTGCTTGGATGAAATAAAGCAGAATGATTTGATCAAACCAATTTTAAACGGAAATTGGAGGATCTTGGCCATTCCATGATCTTTTGGGTGAGTCACTAACATTAAAACACATAGACTTTGAGCCGAGACTGAGCGGTTTTTATCTGAGAAGGCATTTTGCGCGTTGGATATATAGATATCCCAGGCTTTTTGGTAAATGGAACTGCGACTATCGACTCTCATACAGGAATAAATCTACTTGGGTTTTCATCTGCAAAGACTGGCTGATAAAACTCCTAAGATGTTAAAAACCTAATCTCTCTGCCCAAATATACTTACAATTGATGATAAATCATGCAGGCAGGAATCGTAATCGTAAAATGAAATATAAATATAATAGCTCAGCAAAAATTACGAAGAACAGCCATAACACAAAATTTTTCAATACAATTTAATATAAGTTAACTTTTCGTCTTACCGATGACACAATTATAGAATATGAATAATAATAACTATAACTTTGAAATTGTCTAGGCGAAGCAGTATGACCAGAACTGTTGAGGTGGGAAAATACGCTGGATTGCACAGGGCTATACCGCTACACACACGACACTGAACACTTGGATATTTCCGCCCTCACATGTCGAAAAAGCAGCAGCCCTGTATTTTTTGTTGGCCTATTATATTTATAAATTATTGCGATTTTCTACCTCAAGTCTCACTTTAGTATT